GAGAGTCTGAGACAGAGGAGGAAGCTTGGAACTGCCAGCAAGGGATTCACCTCCCCCAGGCCCTTCCTGCTGCAGCAGCGAGCATGAACTCACTGCCACCTCAGCTCCCACCTACGTGCACCTCTGTCTCATGGCTGGTTTGAGCTGGAATAGCTTTTAATGTTTCCTCAGGGCCTGGAGCTCCTCTGCTTCCCTCTGCCAGAGGGGAGAAAACTTCTCCTTTCTTTATGTGGCTCCCTGCATCCCAGGAGGTACAGAGAGCATCTGCACAGGGCTGCTCCAAGGCTCTGCTCTCTCCATGCACACCAGCTGGGTGTGTGCAGAGCCAGCAGTGTCCCTCCTGCCTGCCACATGGGCTGCCCCTTTCCTGCCACTCCTGCCCACAGATGCCAGGAGACGTGGCTCTGGCCCTGCCCTCCCTCCCCCATGCCTGCTCACATCAGCTCCCTCAGGCTGCAGTTCTGCTTCAGCGCCTCCGCAATTTTCCGGGTGCCCTGGGCTCCGATGGCATTTTTCTGCAGGCTGCAAAAGTCAGAAAGGCACCTGTGAATGGCAGCTGCCACGTCCCCAAAGGTGGCACCCGCCCTGCTGGGTGGCTGGAGGGAGGATGCCACGTCCAGGTCACTCACTGCAGGGTCACCAGCCTGTGGTTGGTCAGCAGGGCCTCGGCCAGGAAGGTGGCCCCGTCCTCCTTGATGGAGTTGTGCTGGAGGCTGTGGGACACAGCAGTGAAACCATGGATGGATGCTCCCACAGCAGGGCCAGGGCATCCCTGGCCAGGAGTCTCCTTCCCTCCTCTCCCATGGGATGTTCCTTCTTCCATCAAACAGCACCCTGGGAGCTCCCATGCACAGACAGGACCTCGACCTGGAGCACAGCCCCAACCCCTCCCTTGGCTGCCCAAGAGGCAGGAGAATCCCAGCTGTGTGCCCAGGGCTGCCCAGTGCCCGGCTCTGTGCCAGCTGCACCCGCGCTCGCTGCCCCGCACAACTGACCAGGGGCTGACCCCATGGGCGGCCCTTGGAGCTTGGGAAAACCCCAGTGGGACAGAAGAGGGATGGAAAGGAGATCTGCTCCAGGGCATGCTCCAGAGGTTGAGACTTACTTCAGGGAGAGCAGGATTTGGTTTTTTTTCAGGGCATCAGCCAGGGCTTTGGCTCCGGCGGGGCCGATGGAGTTGCTCCGCAGGCTGGGATGGGACAGGCAGAAAAGCCAAGGTCAGAAAAGCCAAGGTTAGCAAAGCCAGACTAGCACAGGCCCAGTTTAAGCCAGATGCCTCCACATGGCACTGCTGAGGTGGGACATCAGGCCAGCAGCTCGTGGTGGTGGGTTTAGGGGCTGGAGACCTCCCCAGCTCAGTCAGGCTGGGTGGGATCCAGCCCCACCGTGGGCAGGGGATGGTTCCCAGAGGGAATGTGGGCACCACAGGAGCTGGGCAAGGGGGGAACACTTACTCCAGCACCGTCAGGCTCCTGTTCACCAGCAGCGACCTGGCCAGAGCCTTGGCTCCCTTGTTGCTGATCTGATTTTCTGCCAAGCTGCCCAGAAAAAGGAAAATTGGGTGTTCTTCCAGAGGAAAAGATGAGTGTTTTTGGGAAAATTGTGTGTTTTTCCAGAGGAGAAAGAGACTGGCACAGACCCTGGCATGTCCCAGGACACAGCTGGGATGGGTGAGCAGAGAAAAGCCATGGGGAGCATTTGGTTCCTGGTACAACCAAAGTGATGGATGTTCTCCTGGGGTGGACACCAGGCAGGGACTGCAAGGACACAGTTTCTGGATATAAAATTCACTTGTGTCTTATAAAGGAGCTCAGATGGCAGCATGGGGAACCCTGTGCAGCCTTGAGGAAGAGGGGAAGGTGGGGAAAGTGGGAATCCATCTGTCTGGGATGAGGCACCTCCCTGTGTGGGGGTCAGGAGCCTGTCCCCACCATGCAGCAGGTGTCCATGCAGAGCCTCGAGTGTCCAGCCATCTGCTGTCACCTTGGGAAGTGGTTTGTTAGGATAACCCCTGGATTTATTGACATTTTTTTTTAGGAACAGTGAGGAGGCAGCAGTTCCAGGAAGATTGGGCAAGTCAGCTCTGGGGTAAGGTCGCTGTGCCTGGTGCAGGGGATCGTGTGAGGCTGTCCTTGTCATTAGACACCCTGGGGAGCCAGTGGGAGACACATTCCTGGGGGACCCTCACCCTGGTTTTGCAGTGCCCCCAGCTCCACGTTGCATCCCCAGGACATCCCATCTGCCCTGGGCCAGGTCCTACCTGAGCCTCTGGATCTGGCAGTCCTTCCCACTCAGCACACTGCCCAGCAGCTCCATCACATCATCCTTAAACTGGTTATTGTCCAGCCTGCAGGACACACAAGGAAAGAGCAAGAGCAAGGGTTTGGAGAAAGGATGATCCTCCCACGACATCTGCCTGTCCCACGTGGAGAAGCTCAAGGACAGAAGCAGAGCTGACCCAGTGCCACCCCCAGGGCAGCTCTCTGCAGGTGGACCAGGTCTGGGGAGTCCCACTGAGATTGTGAGTCACGGGGGAGAGAGAACTCTTTGCTGCCTCCCATACTTAAAACGGGGAACAGGTTTAAACTAAAAGAGGAGAGATTTAGATTAGAATTTACGATTAAATTCTTCCCTGTGAGAGTCCCTGGCACAGGGTGCCCAGAGCAGCTGTGGCTGCCCCTGGATCCCTGGCAGTGCCCAAGGCCAGGTTGGATGGGGCTTGGAGCAGCCTGGGACAGTGGAAGGTGTCCCTGTCCATGGCAGAGGGTGGAACTGAATGGGCTTTCCCAAAGCAATCTGTGATTCCACAGTCACAGCCTGGCATTCTCCTTACCCCTGGTGCAACCAGGACTCACCGGAGGCTGTGGCAGAAGAGGAGCTGGCAGAGCAGGCTCTTACAGACATTGTAGGTGAGGCAGTTGGAGAGGTTGGTCTCCTCCAGGCAGACGTCAGAGACCTGCAGGAGATAAGCCAGGGCAGAGCAGTTCATGGGGGTGAGCATCCCGGCCAAGCTCCCGCTCCTCATGGCCTCCTCCACGGCCTTGGCGGTGTCCGTGTGCTGCAGCTCCTGCAGGCAGCGCATGGCGTTGACGGCGCGCCAGGAGACGGCGTGGTCGGCGTTGAGGCAGCCCTGCAGGACGCCGATGGCCTGGCTCCTGAGCCCGCCCTGCTCGTCCTTCGCCAGCAGCCACCCCGACAGCAGCCCGTTCACCTGCGGGGACAGGAGCCCCGAGAGGAAGCGGATGAAGATGTCCAGCTGCCTGTCCTCGGCCTGCAGCGCCCTCTGAACGGCGCTCCTGAAGTGGCTGAGGAAGCCCAGCTTGGGCCAGGACATGCCGCTCTCCGCGAAGAGGTCGAAGATGGCCCGCTTGGCCGTCGTGTAGTAATAAAGAGCTGCCAGGAACTCCTGGGTGGTTAAGTGGGAGAAGTAGTAGGCTGTGGAGGCCTGCATGTCCTCCTTGAGCAGGAGGCGGGTGGAGAGGCAGCTGTGCAGCAGGGAGAGGTCGATGCCGTAGGCCTTCATGTCCTGCTCGTAGAACACGTGTTTCCTCCGGAGCAGCCCGTAGAAGGCCAGCCTGCCCAGGCTGCTCACCAGCTTCTTGCTGGTGTTCACAGCCTGCTCAATCCTGAGGGTTTCTCTCGGCTTTTCCAGCCACTCACCACTCAGAGCCATTTTGAAATAATAGGAGAAGATTTCTGACAGGGTCCTGGGGACCACAGTTGCTTCTTGGGATTGGTCGCCGCTACGTTTTAGGAAATAAGCGATCGAGGAGCCAGAAATCCAGCAAAAACCAGGAATGGTGCACAGGACGTGGAGCGACCTGTTAGCTCTGATGTGCTGCAGGACTTGGCTGGACAGATCTCGGTTGTCCGGGAACATCTGCTCCAAGAAGTCCTTCATCTCTGCAGCCCCAAACCCTCGGATTTCCGTCATGCGGTCCACCAGCCCGCCGGGAATCTGCCCGGCCGCCGCCGGCCGCGACGTGACCCACACAGAGGCCTCCTGCAGCAGGTTTCCCCTTATAATGTTGGTGATCAGGTTGTCCACTTGGATCTCCTTTTTGGGATCGGTGCAAACCACCGCGTTGGAAAAATCCAAGGGGGTCTTGAACTCATCCAGGCCGTCGAGGATGAGCAGGGTCCGGGCGGCCCCGGCCGCGATGCAGCCGGGCTCGGTGATGTGGGGGAAAGCCAAGCAGATGAGGCGCTCAGCAGAGAGCTTCTCGTAGGTGTTGAGCTCCCGGAAGGTGAGGGGCAGCACAAACATGATGTCCCTGTTGATCTCGCCCTTTGCCCAGCTGCAGACAAACAGCTTCACCAGAGTGCTCTTGCCAATCCCGGCCACGCCGATGGTGACACAGATGCGAGGGGGGATGCTGACTTTGGAGAGAGGCAGGAACAGCTTCTCCAGGGGGATGCTCTTGGACACGCTCGGCAGGCCTTTGGTGGTCTCAACCTGCAGGATGTCGTGCTCCTTCTGCTGGATGTCGGTCAGGCCTTCCACCAGCAGCAGGTTGGTGAGGCGCTGCAGGGCTCCTGTCTCCAGGCCGTTCCCACAGGAGCTCTGCAGGCTCTCCAGGTGCTTCTGCACCCTGGGTTCTGCACAGAGACATGAAAACGGGTGAGGAGGAAGAGGAGGAACCACAAAGGCAAATGGCAGAATCTGCTTCACTTTTCTGCCATTCCCATGCAGAGGGAAACCTCATGGAGCCCTTACATCCTGGTGGGAAGGGATGGTGGGGCTCAGAGGGCACCAATAGGCCTGAAGGGCCCTGATCAGCCTCACAGTCAGTCCAGGAGCCCATTTAAGCTCAGCCCTGGGCCTTCAGCCTCAGCTAAAGCTATGTTGTGGGAGCTGTTGTATGTGCATCGCTCTGCCCTTGCCTGGTGGCCACTGGGCTGTGTCTGAACCTGGTTGCCCTTGCTGGGCCTGACCCTGACCTCCTCACTGACTTCCCAACTTGAATTCATTCCTGCCTCATTGCCACGGACTCTCTGATGAACTGGACTCTTGGCTGAACCTGGTGGCCACCTCTGGACCTGTCCTGTTCACCTGGCTCAGGTATCACAGTGAAATGAAACCCCCAGTAAAGGCTGGACAAGCAGGGGATGATGGTGTGAGAGATTTGGAGCAGACATCAGCCGAGGTTGGAGCCTTCCAGCCAGGAGGGAAACCAGGGAAAGCTCTCCTGGCAAGAGGGCTGCAGAGACAGCCCAAAGCTGGGGCAGCCACCAGCACACGGGGTCAGGGTGAGCCATCCTTTTCCTGTTCCCAGCCTGGTGCTGGGACTGCCTGGTGTCACCTGGACACTGAGGACATTAAAAACGCCTCAGCTGCCCAGAGAGGCGTGCAAAGGGCAGCGAGGGACCTGCAGGAAAGTCCCTCAGACCTGGCAGAGAGCCCCTGTCCCCCCTGGCTGTGTCCTTCCCCAGAGTCCCTGGGATGGCAGCATCACTGGCACAGGTGCCCCAGCAGAGCTGCCAGCACCCCCAGCTCTGTGCACACCTCGGGTGCTCCGGCGGGCACCAGGCCACGCGTGCAGCCGCCCTGCACAGCGACGTGGAGCTGCGAGCTGAGGTCTCCATGGAGCTCTGCGGGGACCGGGCGGCGTGGCAGCCAGGACACCCAGCACAGCCCTCACCTGCTGGGGCAGGGGCTCGCTGCCTGTGCCCGGGCAGCCTCCTCGGCCCTCAGCAGCGCCAGCCTGCCCAGCTGGGGGATGATGTCCCCCAGGAACTGCGGGGAGACGGCCCCCGCCAGCCGCCTGTGGCACCGCTCGGTCCTGGGGACAGGACAGAGGGACAGGTCTGGGAGGGTGGGTGACAGGAGAGGCAGCAGAGCAGAATTGCCTCTGACTCTGAAGGGAGCAGGGTGGGCTGGAGCCCTCCGGAGTGCCCTGCCTGAGCCCTCCTCGCCATCCCAAAGCCCCGGCAGGAGGCTTTGTTAGGAGCTGCTAGGTCAGGGCAGCAGCTGCTGAAATTGGAGCCAAAGAGACTGAAGAACACAATCGTGGTGTTTTCTCCTGGGATCCAAACCCATGCAGGGAAAGAAGTCTGAGCAAGATCGTTTCTCTCCAGAGCCAGTCCTTCCCCCAGTGCCAGTGCATCACTGCCTGGGTGTTGGAATCTGTGGTATTGATGATTCTGAAATTGTAGAAAGTCTCTGTCTTTCAGCCCCGCTGCCAAAGCAGAAGTCATAATTGGTCTGTGCTGGTTCCAAGGTTGTTTATTCTGTTTATCTCTAACATGTTCTGCTGCCCTGCCCAGCTCTGTCCTGCAGGGCAGCGTGTGGGGCTCTGCCCTCAGTGGGATGTGACAAACATTAAATACCAGAAACTCCCTGAGCTGCATTTACAAGAACATGCCAATATCTGTCACCTACGTTGGACAGTGTGTCCCCAGCCTGAACCAACAGAAAAATGCCAACACCACAGTGACACATGGAGGGCATGAAGAAGGAGGAAAAGGACAAGGCACACCAAATTTCCTCCATCTTGTCCCCTTTGGACCCCTTATCTAGAATCCTAAAATTTTACTTTTGCACCCATGCCACACTTAGTTATTACTGATATCAAACACTCAGAGGTTGTAATTCATCCTGTAAGATTGAAAACTTTTCCATGGCCAGAGATCACAGACAGTGTCTCTGGGGGCTCTGTCCAGGGGGGTTCCTGACCCCTGCCAGGGTCCCAGGGCAGCCAGGGCAGCCAGAGGGAAGCTCTGGATTCCCACACCTGGGATCTGCTCGCACCTTGGTGCCCCACCTCATCCCATTTCTGACCCCAGAACGCCCCCAAGGTGACAGATCTGCCCGGCCACCACTCACCTTCCATCAGAGGCCTCCTGTGACATGGGTGGTCCCTGGGCGAGCAGCGCTGTGGTGGCAGCAGAGTCCCATGGGCCACCCCGTGTCCCCCAGCTCCTCAGCCCCTGTCCATGTCCCTGGTGGGAGAAGAGGAGAAGCATCAGGAGCAGTGTGGGAGGGAGCCCTCTCTGAGCTGCTGTGCTGAGCCAGGAGCTCATTCTGCAGCTTTTGGCCGAGGCAGAGTCCCCTTCACTGGCTGGGTCCTCCTCAGGTGCCACACACTTGGTGCCTGCACCACCACCCCTTACAGCACCCGTTCCTCAAGCACAGTGGTGCATGAATTGCCCTGACAGTGCCCCTGTGCCCTCTCTGGGTCACCTGGGGGGTGTCACCACTGTCCCCAGGGCTGGGAGCTGCTTCTACATCCTGTGTCTTGGGAAGGAAGTTGTGGGGCAGCAGGCAGAGCGAAGAAGGGCCTGGTTTGGTTTCAAAGCCACCTTGGCCCCATCCAGAGCCTCTGTCAGGGCGTGCTGAGCGGGGCCAGCACCACATCCTGTTGCAGAGCTCTGAGGATGCTCTGAATCATCACCCAAAGCAGGAGCATCTGCCTGCTCCCCCCCTCTGCTGCTGCCAAACCACGCTGAGGCTTTGCTGTTTATTTTTAAGTGTCTGCTCAGAGTCCCGTTGCTCTGCGAGCAGGGGTGGAGAGGGAAACATCTCCATGCCTGAGGGCACTCCCAGCTCCACCCGTGTTAGAGGCACTGTGCTGTGGCCTCTCCACCAGCCCCAAAGTCATCCCCAGGCACGGGCCATGTGCAGGGGGGACCTCCTGAACCCCAGGAGATGTCTGATCACAGGAGCAATGCACACACAGTGCCTCAGGGCCTGTGTCCTGGCATCCTTCCTCCTCTCCACGTGCCCTACAGGATGTTCTGGATCCACGTGAACATGGATCTGTGCCCTGCCCACAGACAGCCCTGCCTTTGTCCAGCCCACCCCCGAGGGGACATGGGCACTGTGGGGGCTTGGATGCAGCCTCACCAACAGGTACAGGTAACACTCTTTTCTTTGGTCAAACCTCTCTAGGGAGAAAGCACAAATGTAGCTGGACCAGGAAAACCTGGCAGAGTTTCTGGTCCATGGTGCAAAGCCAAGGTGCTTGGAACTTCTGCTGTCCATCCTCCCTCCCAGGGATCCGTGCTGGGGTTTTTGTTTCTCCCACCAGAAGCACAAGGCTGCAGGAGGGACCTGACAGTGTCCCCAGGGCTGGTCCCTCACAGAGCTGGGTCTCCCACAGGGCCAAGTGGCATGTCCCAGAGTGGGGTAAGTGACAGAAGGTGCTGGTGACAAAGCACCAGCCCAGCTCCACCTGCCCAGGTGGCTCCTGACGAGCCCTTGCAGGGTGGGAGGTGCTGTTGGAGCAGGGTCTGAGCCCACTGGTGCCAGTGGTGCTGATGCCACAGCAAAGCCCTGCTCTCCATGCTGGGAGCAGCAGCAGCTCTTGCTCATCACACCCCAGGCAGTGGCCTGGTCAGGGAAGACACCATCAATTAAAGGAGCTCAGTGAGCAATTCACAGGAAACGTTCACCCTTTGATGTGTTCTTGTCTCTAAGTGGCCTGGGAAGTTCAATTAAGCCTTTGCAGTGCCCAGGTCTGTCTCTGATCCTTGCTGCACAGCCAGAATGAAAGGAGGTTTTGCTGCAGGTGTTCCCTGCAGCCCTGCCTCCAAAACGGGGCCCTTTGATGGGGGAAACCTGCTCCAACAGCAGAAAATGTTTGATGCTGTCCTCCGGCGCTCCTTCAAAAACCAGCAGCCGTGGGCCAGCTCGTGCAGAGGCACCTCACCAGGAGAACGAAGCGGCAGAAGGAAAAATGCAGGGAGGGGCTGGGATTTTTCTCTGGCTCCAGGAGCTTCAGGTGCAGCTCCAGGAGCACAGGGGCTGCTGCAGGCTGTGTCCTGAGGGCTGGAGAGCTGCCTGAAGGGTAAGGACCAGCCAAAGCCAGGCTCCGTAGCCCCTGCAGACACCCAGGGGTGCCCAGGATGGGACCCAGCTCCTTCCAGGGCTGCTGGCCATGGGGCTGCCCGAGGTGTCCCTCCTGCACATCCCGGGTGTGCAGCTTTGCCTGGCCGGGACCCAGCAGGGACAATGTCCCACTGGCAGCCAGAGGAGCAGGGATACAGGTTTGTGTCTGCCCTGCCTTGTCTGTGTCCCCAGGGAAACTGGGATAAGGGGCTGGAGGCTGCCCAGCCAAACTGGTCAATGGCACCTGCAAGGCCCAGGGAGGGAAATGGGAATTTTCTTGCCAAGAATTTGGCATTAACATTTTTTTTTCCCTTAGTGCAGTCCAAAGGTCCAGTCCAGGAGAAAATCCTTTCCTCTAAGGATGTTTAGACAGCACTGATGTGTTCTTCCAGCAGCTCCAAGCCAGCTGGAACCAGCATCCCCCACATCCCACCTGAGTGTCCCGGCCCCAAACCAGCAGTGCTGGGAGCCACAAGGGCTGTGCTGGCAGGTCCCCACCACGAGCACGGCCAATCCTCTCCCAAATTCTGTGATTTCAGTGTCCAGCCTGTTCCAGGATTCCAACCCCAGAGAACACAGGCCTGGATGTCGCTGCTCCTGCTCATCTCTGCCTCTAATGATGTACCTGCAGTGTCACCCTGGCAGTCCAACACGACCAGAGCAGCATCCAGAGGGAATCCAGGATGAAGGGACAGTCCTGAGGTGGCTACAGGAAGCTGTCTGCAGACAACAGCCACTTACTGCCTGCCTGACTGTTGCCCTGATTTTTTAAAGCGTTAAATTTTCTTTTATAGTTCTTTTGAAAGTTTTAAAGTTCTCATAAAATGTCTTTAGCCTTCTGATAATGTTTACATATTTGAGAGTCAGAGTTCCCACACAATTTCATGTATAAATAGAACAGTTTACATATTTCTCTGTGAGTGGAGAGAAATGACTGATTGATCTTTGGACCAGTGCGGTTGGAGAGGTGCTAATTCCATCCTCCAATCCACGTCACCCTTGGGATTATAAATACCAGATGTTTAAATAAAACTGGGTCTTTTTCTCTTTGGAACTTACCAAGCTTCTGTGTACTCGTTTTGTGTACACAGCGACACCGGACCTTCCTCTGCCCCAGGCAGATCCATCCCCCGTGCCTCAGGAACGTGCTGAGCACCTGGGACGGGGCCGGGTCAGAGCTGGCCCACCAGGACTGCCGCAGGTGATGCCCAGCAGCTGGAAATCTCAGTCTGTCCCCCTGCAGGGGCTCGTGGGCAGATTCACCAGCAGCGTGGGGGGAAGGGGGTGCTTGGCACCCCGAGTGGGATTTCCCAGCTGCCAGCAGAGCCCTGGCGACCCGTCCTGCTGCCGGGGCTGGGGGTGCTGAGGTTAGACAGGCACCAAAGAGCTGGGCAAGAGCTCCTGGATGGCTGCAGGCACCCACAGGCGGAAAACACCCGGAAAGGGACTGATGTGCAGCGTTTAGATATACGGCTAAAAGCTTTTTATACTGAAAAACTGCCCGGTCACACAGCAGCAGCTCAGCCCCGTGCCCCAGGCACGCAGAAACCTCCGCCGGGCTGTCCCCGGTCCCTGTGCCACCCCCGGGCTGTCCCCGGTCCCTGTGCCACCGCCGGGCTGTCCCCGGTCCCTGTGCCACCGCCGGGCTCTCCCCGGTCCCTGTGCCACCCCCGGGCTCTCCCCGGTCCCTGTGCCACCGCCGGGCTGTCCCCGGTCCCTGTGCCACCGCCGGGCTCTCGGTGCCCGCGGGGCCCCGGGGCTCTGCGGCTCGGGGCGCGGGTGCCCAGCGCAGCCCCGCCGCCCTCCCGGCCCTCGGGGCTCCTCTCCCGCTCACCTTCGGTGCTTTTTAGTCATTTCCCCCCCCTTGAGCTGATCCCCCGAGCGAGCTGCCTGGAAATGAAAACATTTCCCAGGCCAGCAGCTCCGGCCGCTCCCCCCGAGCTGAGCGAATCCCGAAGGATGGAGGCTGCCACCTTTTGGCAGAATGGGAGAGACTTCACATCGTTAATTTCCGCTAATTAAAATACCTTTCATTTATTTCTGCAATAAAATACCTTCTGCGTTATTACTCAATTATGAGGCGTGCAGACTGGCAAATAACTCAGTTATCTGAGTTTACATATGACTTATATTTTTTGGTCTGAATTTAATGCCAGCTAAATTGATTGCCAAATGTATTTTATGTCAAATTTAATCTCTTCCAGGTTTGAGTTGTGGTTTTTTGTTTCCCTGAACCCCAACCCCAATAACAGAGCACGGACACAGCAGGGGTTAAATACGAGGTGAGGGGGACATGAAGGATGGGCTGGATGCCAGCAGTGCCAATCCTAAATCTCACCAGGAAAAAAAAAGGAAAAATCGATCTATGAGTGATTCCAAACAGCTGAAAATGAAGCTAATTTTGGAGAGGAGGTCCCTTGCAGGGCACTGCTGCACCTCAGAAGCTGCAGAATGAAGGCTGATGCATTTCCTCAGCTGGCCATGCTCTGAGGATGCTTTACCACAGCTGTGCAAACAGCTGATTGAAAAGCAGATCCTCCCAGCAAACAACTTCTGCCCTTCCCACCCACGGGATCTGAGGACAGCAGCAGGAAAACTTGGGCAGGATCTGCTCTGTGCCACTCGCAGCCCCAGGGCTGCAGGGATGCTGCCAGATGGGACCAACCCAGCCTTCCTGGGCTGGCAGAGCCCCCCAAAAAGCAGCTGCAAGTTCTCCAGAAAGAATTTTTTGTGCAACATGAACATCCCGAGTGGGAGGTGTCCCCTGGCTCCCAACGGCGCCTGTCTGGCTTTGGGTAACTCTTCCACGTGGTGGCCAAAGCCTGAGGGAGGGTGACAGCCCAGGGGGTGACAGCAGCCAGGCTGTCCTGTCCCCAGCAGTCCCATGTTTATGGCTACACAGTGCCCAAAGGTGCCTGGATAACAGCAGGGTTAGGTCTGATGCCCTGAGGCAGCCCAGGGTGCCCGGGCTCTGTGCCCACCTGGGTGCAGGGCTGAGCTCCAGCCCCCCGACCTGCTCCTGGCACACCCCAGGGCCCTGCACCACCCTTTGGTGCAGTTTTGCACCGTGCCACAGGTGAGTGTGTCACTAATCTCTTCCTTTTCTGTTGGTGGTACATCTTGGAGTTTATTTTGGATGGTTTGGGAGTTAATTAGCTCGGCAGGTGACATTAAGGGGAGGAAAGCTGCTGCACAAGGCTTTGGGCAGGCAGGACAGCCTGGCTGTGGCTGCCTTCACACCCTGGCAGGCGAGCAGGTAAGGGGACAGGATTTGTGACATGTGCCAGGTTCCCTGGGGGGTGCCACGCTCACCTCCATCACTCCGGGCTCCACCCCCTCCTGCCAGCCTGGTGGCCATGCCGTGCCATGCCGTGCCGTGCCAGGGACCTCTGCCCATCAGCTCCCGGCCCTGCTGCCTTGGCCATCACAGCACGAGCTCTGCAGCAGCTTGTCCCCACCAGGGAGAGCCAAGTGACTTCTCCCCTTCTCCCCACACTCCTCCAAAGCCCCTCCAAGCCCCTACCTTGGCCTCGTGTCACCTTCCCCCGGTCGCTGTGTCAGCAGGGCAGCGGCGAGGGCATCCTCGTGGCCCGGGAGGATGCAGCCCCTCCGGTGTCCCGCTCAGCTCCTTATGCCCAGGGCTTTCCTTCCTCCTCAGGGATGCTGAAGCTGAAGGCAGAAGCCACCCTTCCCGCTGGTGTCCCCCGGTGGGAGCTGGGGCGGGGCGATGCTGGGGCAGCACCTGCGGAAGGTGGCTCCGGGTTCCCCGGCCGTTCCCAGCCCGGTGGCTTCTGTCTCTTTGCGTTCTCTCCGCGCCCCTTCCTGCCCTGGCTCTCGCAGATCTTCCTTCCTGTCAGCGCAGGGCTGGTGCTGTGCAAATGGGGCTGAGGGATGCGCCGAAACCCAGCGGCAGCCGGGGCTGCCCCAGCTCCGTGCGGGGACATTTCCCCCGCGGCGTCCCGAAAGCCGCAGAGCCGCCCCAGCAACACCCCGAGCGCTGCGAGCGAGCTCGGAGCAAAGCCACGCGTTCAGCCCGGCCCGCTGCACAACCCCGCACTGGGAATATCCCACGGGAGAGGCTGGAGCAGCAGCTCTGCCCTTCGCTGGGTTGTGCAAAGAAATCATTCCATGAGTAAATTAAACTTGTGTCTTGAAAAAGTGGGATTAAAGGGTAGGAATAGCCTCCCTTTCCTCCAAAGGTGTTCTCCTGCCTTTGCCAAATGCTTCCTGGAATTAGGATTTGTCTCCAAAGAGCTGGATCCCATCCCACCAAGGAGCCAGAGCTACCAGAGCATCAGGACCGGCGGGATCTCCCCTCCCCAGCTCCACGCACGCAGGTGGGCTCGGTGATTATTTTCCATTTTGGTTCGACAAAACCCTCCATTTGTAAATCCTGTAAAAATTTCACTGGCATTCAGGCAAATGGTGGCTAGTGAAGCTCTCGTGGTGGCGAGCTGGGGGGGTCAGGGTGGGCTCGTGGCCACTGAACTGTGCCTGGGAGGAGAGGTGGGGGCAGGCAGGAATTGGGAGCTCCAGCCACCACTTCGGGCTCTGTGTCCCCCAGCCTCGCTCTCTGCCCGCCCCAGCTGTGCCCAGCAAGGGGTTAAAACTTTTCTCTGTCGAGTTTGAGGTCTGTTGGTAATTTCCCCGTCTGGAGGGGGGTTTCAAGAGGAGCTGGCAGCTGGTAATTCCCAGCAGCCAACCTGTAGCTAAAATCCCTCGCATCCAAAATGACTGTGCAAGAAACCCCAGTCAGAGCTGTGCCTCCTGCTTTCACAATTCATCATTGATCTGAATTAACACATCTGAAATGTTTCTTTGCCACTGTGAATTACACATCCCTCACGCGTTTTCTGGGTCATTTACCAGATTCAACCCCAGGTTTCTCAATGTATTTATTTACTAAACCCAACCTACGGAGCTCCCGGCAGGGTGGGTTTGTCCGCAGCCCCTCTGGAGCTGGCAGGAGAGCTGAGAAAAGGTCCAGGGTGACTCTGCTTGTTGACTGGTGCGGTTGTTGGCAGGAGGGTGCTCGGGGACAGCTCGGGGACAGCTCCTCAGACCTGCACAGAGTCTGGGGACGAGGCACCTGGGGATAACAACGGTGCCAGCTCCAGAGGGAGCAGCAGGACGAGCCTGGGGAGCAGCCCGGCTGCCACACCAAGGAAAGGTGCAAAGTCTGGGACGCTCGGGGGTCCCCGGGAGGAAGAGACACAACCCCCCCAGAGGGTGACGTGGTGGCTTTTGGGTTTTAAGCGGGTTTCCTGAGCAAGGAGCAGGCGGCTGGGACAAGGGATGGGATTGGGGGTGGGATGTGTTACATTGCGCTCAGGCCATGTCTTC